CTGTGTTGATGGCCTCGGGATAAAGGTTGGTGAGTGCTTATACACTTGTCCTTTCATTTAATCTTTATTATTTTGTTTTATTGCATATTTCCTTATATTGTCCTACATTTAAAGGACTCCTATTATAATCCTACACCCATTCTTTTTACTTGTTCAGCAATAACAGTGTATTTTAAGTAAAATTGGTCAGTTCACATGTGCAAGACTTTAAATAATTGCTTATAAACAGCCATAGTCCATGAAAACTTGTGAAATTTTACTTAAAGCACTCTGTCATTGCAAAGAAATGCTAAAAGCCTGTGATTTAATTTATATAACATTTATTTCACACTATAAAATAACAGTAGAGATGATAACAATTTCAAAACATCATGCAGGTTATGTAGAATGATACGGTAATGAAATATGAAATTCGCTTTAAAAGGAATAGTCCGTCACTTTTTAAGTAAACTATTTGTTAAGTTTGAATTTAAGGTTTGTACACAGACAGCACATTTGTTTAAGCTGGTTTTGTCGTGCGCAACCGAATATTTATTCCCCACTGAAGAAACACTGTTTTTGTTTATCTGTTAATATCAAGGGAGATAATTTATAGATTTTCTGAGTAAGTATGGTCGCTGTTGCCTCCCTTGGATGTTGTTGGTGTTGGATCCAGCTGACCTTTCCTATAATCTGACTTTGTAGAGTGTGTCTTCTTGTATTTCAGATGTTCATGGAGTTGTCTACCCTTTGATAAAAGTTTGCGTTTAACTGTTTCAGGTTTTTTTGAATACTGTCTCTGATATGTTTCTTCTCTTTGCATTTGATGTAGGCTATTAGCTGCTTTCTCAGAGAGACGAATCCCAAGGCACCCCAATTTCTTCTCAGCGCTGTCCGCAACACCGTTATTTAAGCGGTGAATGGTAGAACTGAGGCGTCCGTGAATATTCCGTGCGAAATCATTATTTTTTGGTAGCGACACACTAATAGATCGATTCACCGCTTCACATTTCTGTGTGCTGGTGCCCAATTTCATCTGTTCGATAGCGCTCACACTTATTTTCATTTTAACTATGTCAAAAATTAATTGTTTGTCATTCTCTTGTAGGCACAAGTTTGTTATTCTATGGCTGCTGAGGAACATGGAGCGGTTCCACCAGTTGTTTGTTTCTCCACCAGAACACACGTATGAGTAGCGTCTACACTTAGAACAGTCCACAGCATAACAGCTCACTGTAGCATCCAGAACACGAGGTAAATATTTTTTTATAGTATTCATATCTCCAGTATGAATTCTCATAAGCTCTTTTAGTATAAAGTTACATCTAGCCTTTATGTCCTGGCTTAATGCCTTCTGTTGTCCATGCCTTTGGTCTCTGGTCTTTGCACTTGGGAACATACCATTACTGAAGTGAGCTTTATAACAGCACCGGAACTGTGCTTGGCCAAGATGAGTTGGGTCTGCCTGGCGCTCCACCTTCCACATAGGGTCAAGCAATCGCATGGCCTCGGAAACACCGGCAGCTGATCTAGAGTCACCATCTGTTGTCACGTATCTTACAAAGGCACTTTCAGCATTCAATGTCTCTCCAATTGATTTCCCAAGTTCATATTCAGAAAGTGGTGCATGCCGGTAAGTATTTGCTGTACAGCCAGCATGCCCACCTGGGCATGTAACATCATATCCTTTTCCGCGAAGCCAGGCACCTGTCCAGCAAAGTTTATTCTGGACTGCAGCAGCTATAATGTATTGTTTCTCTGTAATTGTCTCACAGGCTATGGCAATAGACTGCGAAGCATTCTGGCCTGCCTTCTTACGGCTTGCGATAGTGCTTGAATTGTAACGTCCATCCAGAGCAATGTTGATAGCATTCTCAGGATTGCCTCGTTTTCGGTTGATCTCCTTTACTTTGTTGATCTTCTCTGACATGTCATCATCATTAAGTTGTTTTATCGCACTGCCCACAGTGTTTGATGTTCTCTGCATGCTGCTTCTTGCTGGAGGTGGGATGTCAATACTTGTCAGTAAGTAGCGGCATTTTGTATTCCCTATTGGTGTGTCTTGAAGGCCTACAGCAAGACTCACATTTGCTGTTGCGGCATTTGGACCCCTTTTTGATGATGAAACCTCTTTATAGAGCTTGTAAAATGGTGTGATAAAGCTGCAGTTGTCACACTTTAATGAAACTTTCCAGCAGAGACCAACTTTTCTTTCCTCGGCCACATGAAAGTTAGGCTGCTCACATTCATTTGCCTCCTGCCGATGAATTCTGTATGCGTTATTGAAAGCCCCTGACATCTCTTCACTGTCTACAATTCTCATGCCCGAACAAGAATTTTTATCGTCAATTTTTTTCATTGTAGATGAAGTCGCAGAAGCACTTGGTCGCAGCAGCATGGCATTTCCTGAGAGCTCACTACCATCTGCAGTAGGCCTGGATGTCACTGGAAATTCATCTACAGTCAGTCTGGTGATAGATCTCTTAGGCTCAGTATCTACATGACAAGAGTTGTCAAACTTCAAGCCTTTATTCCATGGTGAGTGCCCTTGCTTGAACCAAGCTAATTTCTTCTTTCGGTCGCCTCGCATAATTGTACAGCAGTTGTGTATAGTATGAAGGTAAGTTGCTTTTTGATAAAGAGTCAGGAACTGGGTCCATATTTATATAGTAATTTATGAGAATTCATACTGGAGTAATGGAATTTTTGGAATTTCTTCAAAGGTGGTTTTCAAGAATCACCCAGAGGGACCCAGATGTTGGCATTCCTGGGTGGTAATTAGTACCTGGGGTAACAGTATGTGGAATGCTGTGCATTAGACCACATTGACTGAGCAGCCACCTGGGGAGGTAATTATTAGGCAGTGGCACTTTTCTGCTGGACATAACTTTTGAACCAGTTGGCTTATGATAATAAATGAAACATCATTTTAAAGGTAAAATGCATGCCTTTCAAGAAATAAACGATTTGACAAAATGAGAATTTACAAAAATTATGTAATGCAGTTATAGTATTATGTAATATGGCTAAATTTGGATATATTTGGTCTAAAATAAATATTTAAGAAAAAAAAAATTTTATGTTAGTTTTAGATGCATATTTAAGTAATATTTGAATCACTGATGAGATTACTTTTTATTTGATGAAAATCATCCAAGTAATAAAAAAGTTATAGCAATTTTAGTTTTAGAGTACTTTTAATTTGATAAGCTGCGGCCTGGCTTCAGGGCTGATAATACCTATGGTACATAACAGGCTGTGAATTCATCAGTATATGTAATTAAGACTAGAAACTTTCCAGAATAATATGAGATAGCCTAGGAATGATGTATGCAAAATTTTATTAAGATCAGATGAACATTTTTGAGTAAATAGGAATCAGTCCACAGTTATTTGCCTTTCGTTGACCACAATAAGGAAGTAAATCCGCATAAAAGAGTGCCTGTGTTTAATGCCAGATATAAATGAATAATTGAATGAAAGAGATAGAAAAGGGACATTTTCTGACAGAATTCATTTCAAATAGTGGGTAAATGCCAATTTTGATCCAGATTTTATGTGAGTAAGTATTTTTTTAGTGTTTTTCTACATGACAGAATTCACATGGTTCCGGCAAATTACTGAAAACTGTCAGACTGATGTGTTTTGGACTGAAATGCTGTGAAAAAATGATGAATGACCCCTAGTTTGCTATAGCTGGAATTATTTATCTTGGATGATACTGTAAGCACAAGTGACTTTGATTTGATTGGAGAGTTAGTAAAATTGCCACAGGGTTTAATGTTTATATAGAACATATAGTGAAATTAATTGTGGTCTGAGGCCATACAACTTAACTTGCTTTTAGGGAATAATAAATGAAATAAAGAAATACTATAAAATGATAAATATGTCGACCTAAAAGACTACTTATAAAACTAGTAAGTTAACTGTTTATCATTAAAATTCAGGAGAAAGTCGTCCTAATTTAATAACGTTATACGATTGACACCCAACCCCCCCTCCCCTTTTCCACAACTGCCTACACATCCATTATTGCCGCGATGAAAAGTGTCCCGGAAAGCTGTCCAAAAATTATGGCATGTATGTTTAATAAATCCGTGCCTCATAATATGAAATTAGGCAAAGCCTATGAACGGGGAAGTCGTTAAAAAATCCTTTCATTCTTTCCGTTTTAAAGGTGTCATTCGATATTACATACACCGCTTCCGTTTTCACTCGGAACACTCGACTATTATTACTAATCCGAAAAGTTGAGATTTGTTCCGTTATCGGAATACCTCGCCTATTATCATTGACATACATTGTAAATGGCGGCGCCCGACTAGAACTGACACTGAAAATTTCATTGATAGGTATAGAATTCTATATATTTTTTAATTGTTTTCTATTTGATTTTCTTTTAAATATTCATGTGTAGTCTATAGCCGGGCAAGCCAAAGCCTGGACCCGCTTCGCGGACCCGGTCTTTGACTTCCCCGTATTACTTGTATTAAGAAACTTATTAAATTATTAAAAAAAAAGCAAGCAGTTTGTTGATTACTAAAGAAAATCATTGTTATAATCATACTGTGGTGAATCGTTATTTAACTGTGGCGAATCGTTATTACTTTGTGGCGAATCGTTATGTGGCGAATCGTTAGTGTGGCGAATCGTTACTAATTCTGTGGGAATTGGGCTATTCCAGAAAATATCCGCACCCCCCCTATGGAAGGCACTTTCACCCCAAAATACCCCCCCTGGACACACCTATTATTGGCCCTCACATCTCATTTGTTTCATGAAAAATACTCCCCATGGACAAGAATTTTCCAATATGCCCCTGGACAGATACCCCTTGGACAACCTATGGAAGGCACTTTTCCTTAAAATATACCCCCTGGACAAGTGTTTCCATCCCCCCCTGGACGGGTACCCTTGGACAACCTATGGAAGGCACTTTTCCTTTAAATATACCCCCTGGACAAGTGTTTCCTAACACGCACTTTTCCTTAAAATATACCCCCTGGACAAGTTGTATCCAAACACCCCCCTGGACGGGTACCCCTTGGACAACCTATGGAAGGCACTTTTCCTTAAAATATACCCCCTGGACAAGTGTTTCCAAACACGCACTTTCCTTAAAATATACCCCCTGGACAAGTCTTTCCAAACACCCACCTGGACGGGTACCCCTTGGACAACCTATGGAAGGCACTTTTCCTTAAAATATACCCCCTGGACAAGTGTTTTCTAACACCCCCCTGGACGGGTACCCCTTGGACAACCTATGGAAGGCACTTTTCCTTAAAATATACCCCCTGGACAAGTGTTTCCAAACACCCCCCCTGGACGGGTACCCCTTGGACAACCTATGGAAGGCACTTTTTCCTTAAAATATACCCCCAGGACAAGTGTTTCCAAACATCCCCCTGGACGGGTACCCTTGGACAACCTATGGAAGGCACTTTTCCTTAAAATATACCCCCTGGACAAGTCTTTCCAAACACCCCCTGCACGGGTACCCCTTGGACAACCTATGGAAGGCACTTTTCCTTAAAATATACCCCCTGGACATGGAAGGCACTTTTCCTTTAAATATACCCCCAGGACAAGTGTGTCCTTAAAAAACACCCCCCCGGACAAGTCTTTCCAAACACCCCCCCCTGGACGGGTACCCCTTGGACAACCTATGGAAGACACTTTCCTTAAAATATACCCCCTAGACAAGTGTTTCCTAACACCCCCCTGGACGGGTACCCCTTGGACAACCTATGGAAGGCACTTTTCCTTAAAATATACCCCCTGGACATGGAAGGCACTTTTCCTTAAAATATACCCCCAGGACAAGTGTGTCCAACACCCCCCCCTGGGTCTTTCCAACACCCCCCCCCCTGGACGGGTACCCCTTGGACAACCTATGGAAGACACTTTTCCTTAAAATATACCCCCTGGACAAGTGTTTCCAAAACCCCCCCCCTGGACGGGTACCCCTTGGACAACCTATGGAAGGCACTTTTCCTTCAAAAATATACCCCCTGGACAAGTGTTTCCAAACACCCCCCCCTGGACGGGTACCCCTTGGCAACACCTATGGGAAGGCACTTTTCCTTAAAAATATACCCCTGGGACACTTTTTTACCCAGGAACAACAAACACCCCCCCCCTTTGACAATGGACTTTTTAACCTATGGAAAGGCACTATTTAAAAAGTTTTTTAAGAGAAAACAATACCCCCCCTGGACAAGCGTTTCAAAAACACCCCCCCCTGGACGGGTACCCCTTGGACAACCTATGGAAGGCACTTTTCCTTAAAATATACCCCCTGGACAAGTGTTTTCTAACACACCCCCCTGGACGGGTACCCTTGGACAACCTATTGAAGGCACTTTTCCTCAAAATATACCTCCTGGACAAGTGTATCCAAACACCCCCCCCCCCCCTGGACGGGTACCCTTTGGACAACCTATTGAAGGCACTTTTCCTTAAAATATACGCCCTGGACAAGTGTTTCCTAACACCCACATGGACGGGTACCCCTTGGACAACCTATGGAAGGCACTTTTCCTTTAAATATACCCCCTGGACAAGTGTTTCCAAACACCCCCCCCCCACCTTGACGGGTACCCCTTGGGCAACCTATGAAAGGCACTTTTAAAAAGTTTTTTAAGAGAAACATACCCCCTGGACAAGCGTTTCCAAACACCCCCCCCCCTGTACGTGTACCCCTTGAACAACCTATGGAAGGCTCTTTTCATGATCAATATCCCCACGGACAAGCAATGACCCCGGCCCCTTTGGATGTTAGGCTACCTATGTAAGGCACTTTTTCTGAAAAACATCTTCCTGGACATGTACCCTTTTGACAATCTATGGGGCCAAAATAGAAATATATTTGTTTCCCCTTCCAGACCCATTCAAATTAGGGTTTAGTAGGTATGTAGGTAATTTATTTTTTTTATATGTGCATAATTATAAATAATCTGCATATATATTATATATAACGAACTTTTAAATGTTTATTAATATGCAATAGTATATGAACATGAATTACCATATACACAACTGACATATGCAACAATTTATTAACTATGCTAACGTCTAAAATTTCAGATTCGATTGTAACTTTTTTACTTTGAAAGAAAAAAAATATTTTCACCCCCAAGAACCTGAAATCTTTTGGGTAGGGGCAAATATGTTGGGTAGGTAGGGAAGGGGAAACAAAGTAAATTTTATTTAAGGCCTCAAAGGCATGAAAAATATCCCCTTGGACAAGCATTTATTTATATAATCAACTTTATTGCTCACAAGGGCAACGCACAGTTTTATTTTCGGTGGAATTTTAATTACAATATCTACAGGTATAAAGATGTACAAGTTTTTATTTCCTTACAAAGTTTTTTTAATGTTTAAGAAAAAAAAACTGTTACCATGAAGTTTTGCGGCTTCATTCCATTTACAAATTTACATTATGTTGTAATACAAGTTACATGTATCGGTATATGCTGGGCAGAATGATGTAAACAACGCATCATGAATGAGACAGACATTTTTCTTGTGCAAACAAAGTTGGGATCAGGTATGTATTAAATTCATTATCAGCTTTTTAAAAGGTTGGGTCCAAGTAGTTTCTTTACAGCAATAAAAATTCTTATTCCTTTTAATCTGTCTTTCTATTATTATATGATATTTTCTTATTATTGTAAAAGCAATGAAAAGGCCCATACTGTATCAAGTTCTTTACCTGTGGCACTTTTTAATGTTTCTGCTTTTTCTTATGATGTACAGAGAAAAAGAAACACACACAAACAAAAATATTCACTTTATTAATAAATATTAACATATCTAACTCTACAGTGGATAAACTATGAATGTAAACTCTACATTTAAAGCAATCTGTACAGAACATAAAAAAACAATATAACAATATATTTATGAAATTGAAACAAATACATGTTAAATGATGTTAACAAAATTTATAAAAAGGTTTATTTTTATAATTATTAACCAAATTTTTTGGGTTTAAACGAATAGACTTATTTGTACATAAATACATTCATTAATGTTATTATAAATTAAAAATGTGGTTTAAACAAAGGAAAGTTTTTAAATTTAAATTTTTACATGCTATAATTTTACTTTTACATTAATAGATACGAAAATAAACATATATCTATTTTGTGACAAAAACATTGTTTTTTTTTTTTGATATTTATGGTCTAGAATTTCCATTTAAAATTAGTGCTTTTACGAAACGAAAACAAAAACACTATAAATGGATTAATATCTTAAGTACTCAAATGATTATATCTTGTATGACTTAACAAAATTTGTATTTGTTTCAATATTTTAATCATATCTACCTTACATATATAAATTTTTCACAAAAATATCTTCAGAATGCTTATTCAATAAAAAAACAACAAATAAATAGGTCATTATTCATGTTTTTACAAATAAGATTATTAACAGACAAATTATAAAATTTAAAACTTGCAGGAATTAAGTATTGAATTGATATTTAGCAGGACTTGAACAATTGTTTTATCAAATATATCCATTAACTTATCAGGTAGATACTTTTATTTTCTCCACTATTGGAGAGCATAACATATTTACAGAGGTGAACATTGACATATACATAAACAAGTATAATACATATTAATAAAATAGTATATCCAATTTAGCATCATTCATATAGTAAGAAGAAATGCATTAGAAATATTTTACATTAACCACATAAATTGTATCAGATGTAGAAAACAAATATAACAAAATAAATCTTAACCATGAGGTGTTATTTTTAAAATGGGACTCATCTTGCATACATTTGTACATGAGCTATTTCTCAGGGCTAAAATGGGGCTCATCTCGCATACATTTGTACATGTGCTATTTCTCAGGTCTAAAATGGAACTCATCTTGCATACATTTGTACATGTGCTATTTCTCAGGTCTAAAATGGGACTCATCTTGCATACATTTATACATGTGCTATTTCTCAGGTCAAATGGGGCTCATACGGCATACATTTGTACATGTGCTATTTCCCAGGTCTAAAATGGGACTCATCTTGTATACATTTGTACATGTGCTATTTCTCAGGTCTAAAATGGAACTCATCTCGCATACATTAGTACATGTGCTATTTCTCAGGTCTAAAAAGGGGCTCATCTTGCATACATTTGTACATGAGCTATTTCTCAGGGCTAAAATGGGGCTCATCTCGCATACATTATACATGTGCTATTTCTCAGGTCTAAAAATGGGACTCATCTTGCATACATTTGTACATGTGCTATATCTCAGGTCTAAAATGGAACTCATCTCGCATACATTTGTACATGTGCTATTTCTCAGGTCTAAAATGGGACTCATCTTGCATACATTTGTACATGTGCTATTTCTCAGGTCTAAAAATGGGGCTCATACGGCATACATTTGTACATGTGCTATTTCTCAGGTCTAAAATGGGACTCATCTTGCATATATTTGTACATGTGCTATTTCTCAGGTCTAAAATGGAACTTCTCTCGCATACATTTGTACATGTGCTATTACTCAGGTCTAAAAAGGGGCTCATCTTGCATACATTTGTACATGAGCTATTTCTCAGGGCTAAAATGGGGCTCATCTTGCAGACATTTGTACATGTGCTATTTCTCAGGTCTAAAATGGGACTCATCTTGCATACATTTGTACATGTGCTATTTCTCAGGTTCTAAAATGGAACTCATCTCGCATACATTTGTACATGTGCTATTTCTCAGGTCTAAAATGGACTCATCTCGCATACATTTGTACATCTGCTATTTCTCAGGTCTAAAATGGGGCTAATCCGGCATACATTTGTACATGTGCAATTTCTCAGGTTTAAAATGGGACTCATCCGGCATACATTATACATGTGCTATTTCTCAGGTCTAAAATGGGACTCATCTCGCATACATTTGTACATCTGCTATTTCTCAGGTCTAAAATGGGGCTAATCCGGCATACATTTGTACATGTGCTATTTCTCAGGTTTAAAATGGGACTCATCTGGCATACATTTGTACATGAGCTATTTCTCAGGTCTAAAATGGGGCTCATCTTGCAGACATTTATACATGTGCTATTTCTCAGGTCTAAAACGGGGCTCATCTCACATACATCCGACATGTGCTATTTCTCAGGTCTAAAATGGGGCTCATCTCGCATACATTTGTACATGTGCTATTTCTCAGGTCTAAAATTGGGTTAATCCGGCATACATTTGTACATGAGCTATTTCTCTGGTCTAAAATGGGGCTCATCTTGCATACATTATACATGTGCTATTTCTCAGGTCTAAAATGGGGCTCATCTTGCATACATTTGTACATGAGCTATTTCTCAGGTCTAAAATGGGGCTCATACGGCATACATTTGTACATGTGCTATTTCTCTGGTCTAAAATGGGGCTCATCTTGCATACATTTGTACATGTGCTATTTCTCAGGTCTAAAAAAGGGGCTCATCTTGCATACATTTGTACATGTGCTATTTCTCAGGTCTAAAATGGGGCTCATCTTGCATACATTTGTACATGTGCTATTTCTCAGGTCTAAAATGGGACCCATCCGGCATACATTATACATGTAGTATTTCTCAGGTCTAAAATAGGACTCATCTTGCATACATTTATACATGTGCTATTTCTCAGGTCTAAAATTGGGCTCATCTTGCATACATTTGTACATGTGCTATTTCTCAGGTCTAAAATGGGGCTCATCTCGCATACATTTGTACATGTGCTATTTCTCAGGTCTAAAATGGGGCTCATCTCGCATACATTTGTACATGTGCTATTTCTCAGGGCTAAAAAGGGGCTCATCCGGCATACATTTGTACATGAGCTATTTCTCAGGTCTAAAATGGGGCTCATCTTACATACATTTATACATGTGCTTTTTCATGTGCTGTCCTGCATGTTTAATTTCTGCATAAGGTCTATATACACAATTCCATTTAAACACTACTTAAATCATTCATCAGGATATATGCGTAAAGAGTACTTTCAGAAATATTGACAATGGTGACATTTTGCACGAACGCCTTTTTTATCATGAGCTTGAGCCGGCTCATGTAGCCCTTGTTATTTGTAATTTTCACATAATTGTTATAAATACACATATTTTATTGATTTCTTCACTGTCTTGACATGATCCAATATTTGACTCTTGCAAAATCGTGAATGCAAATGAAAAAATGTGAAAAGTCCATGACTTTTTTGAACAGCCCTCATACACATTGGGTTATTTCTTTAGGCGAATTGAACTGTTCAAAGCTGGTGAAACTTCCAAAACGTATGTGCAGTTTTCCTCATCCTTGTAGCATACAGTTATTGTGTCTTCACAAGCATCTACTGCTACCACAACTGCTTCATACAAGCCTGTAACAGACAATGCAATGTTTTAACTGATTAAACAGTTGCCCATTAAAAGTCTAAATCAAAGGAAACTTGCATTTTTTTAATGTTAAACTTATTTGGCAACTCTCCTTTGTTCTCCAAAAAAGAAAAGGCAGTTTAACATTTTTTTCTTGAAAACAGAAATGAAGAATAGTTTCAAAGCAGTTTTGGACCAACAAAAAACAGAAATGAATTTATAAGCTTATTGGAAATGCAAAGCATATACTAGTTGTAACATTATTAACAATCAATTCTCTGCCATCCTCTAGGGAAAAATAAAAAGAGGATTATATTTATCATAACACAATCAACTTGGTGTTTCCATATAACTTTCTAACATATAACTATTAACTTGAGGACTATTAACTTGATTTTAAAATTGAGGCAGAACAGCTTCCAAAATCTCAAGTTTAATTTTCATGATGATGGAATTAGTAAGTCAAAAGTAGCAGGTATTATCCAATCTCTGAAGCCTTTGTATGTATAATAATGTTTACTACAAAAGAATATTAAACATAAGTTTGTGCTGACATCCATCCAAATGTATATAAAAAATGTTGTTGTTTTTTGTGGACTTTCATTACCTGCTCGCCAGTTTGTTCCTTTTAGTTCTTCAGATGTCCATTTTATTTCTACAATTTGTCCAACAGTTAACAGCCTTTCATATGTTTCTAACATGGCAAGAAGAGGTTTAGATGGTTCAATAAAACCTTTTGAAACCATATCGGTGAATTTCATGGTGTATGTACAGTCCTTCTCCTCGATGTATTCCACAGTAAGCTCATCAATATCTTCATTGAAAGCAATCACTTTAGCACTATACCAGCCTGTGAAACATACAGCATAAAAATTAGCATATTTACAACATTAATTCTTTGTGTAATATATATTTCTCTATATTTATGAACCACATGATTCTGATTATAACAGTTATTATTGAATGAATATTATGACAAAATACGATTCTGATAGGTAGCATGAACTGCTCTCTGTATTGGTTGAATTTATCTTGTATATTGTTTTAATCATTACTTAAAAAGTCAATTATTATTCTTGCAAATAATTCATTTTCATATTTCAGATTTTTTTCTGACCAATTTTGTCATCACTGCTATGAAATGTGACAATAGCTTGGTCCTGAATATGTGTGTTGAGTGAATTTTCATAATTTAAAGGCATTTAAATAATGAATCAAACTTATCGATTTTTTCACATGTGTATCAATTATTAATCAACAGAAAAATATCCACAATACATTGATATTAATGACAGCTGTAAATACCATGATTGATTATGTTGAAACCATGACAACAAACCATAAAAATATTTAAATATGGGGTTGTTAATTAAATGTGTGAATTACATATCAAATTACAAACTATTTTGTAGCAAAAAAAAAAAAATTAGGGCCATACGTCTCTGATATTAAATTTAAATCCTTGGTCCCAAATTTCCCCTATAAGGGTAGAACAAATTAATTTTTCTCAAGTCAAACAGACCTGTGACAAAAATTAAATTATTGACAAATTAATCAACTGTCAGCTTAATGCAGTAGATAAGGTTGTTAGTTAATCTTCTAGTTTAAATATCAAGACAAGGTTCGGATTGTACTTTTTTCATGAAAATAAGTTTTGTATAAAAACAATTAAATACTAGTATGTAATTGTATATTTTTTCTTGTCGTAAAGGAGTGTTGTGTTAATTTCTATTTAAATTTCTCATTTCACATTTTTGTATTTTTCATAAGATATTTCCAGCAAGTTGGACGACCTTATACTGAATACTAAACGGAATGAATACATGTTTCTGAAAATTGTTTCAACTATAGTTCAGTTGGCACGAAATACTCGTGCAGTGCACGACTCAAGTACTATGACTATTGCATATTACACACTACACAAGATAAAAAATAGTATTACCAGTTTATCAAATTCCTACCAAAATTTTGAAAAGCTATAACTACCTGGCTGCCAGCCTGTGCCAGAGACCTCTTCTCTCAACCACTTGACCTTTATGGTATTTCCTGGTGTTTTCATACTCATGAGGGATTTGGTAGCTTTGGTTGTGTTTTTTTTTGTTTTTCTATGTCAAGTATATATTCTTTCAGAGTGTTAAAAAGGTCTGGTAGGTTTTTTTCTTGAATATGTACAGGCAATTGAAATGTTACACTTGAAACAGGGTTGTTTAAGACTTTCTGTCTAGTCGTTGAAAGTTGATTTGATGAAAATGTTCTTTCATGATCTAATGACACAAGCTGCTTTTGCACTTGAATTTTTATGAAATGTTCACACGTTTTTATAAGGTCTGAAAGACCTTCTCTCTCCCGTTTAGATATTAAATCTGGCTGGTGCTTTAACATGAAGAGTCTTAGAACCAGTTCTTCTTTAGACCCGACTATTCTTATCCCGTGGTGAAAGAGAATACTTCTAATTGTTGATACAGTCAAAGAAGATATACCTGATAATGTATTTGGCACTGTTTCAAGTTCTCCAGAATATATTATTTCTTCGTTGATAGCATCCTCTTGTGTCATAGCGCTTTATCAAATCTACTTTTGTGCCCTCATGGTTAACATTATTCTGCTTGCACATGTTGATTAATTCCCTTTTTTTAAGCCTAAACAGGGAATTTCCCTTCCACTTCATATACTCTTTGTCTTTCTCTGCTAATTTCTTTTCTTCCTCCTCTTTCTGCTTCATGTATTTTTCCACATCATCAGGGGGAATCCATGATAGCATTGATATTTGCTGTTTAATGTACTGGGGTGGATTGTCGAAAATCAAAAAGGCCATATATAAAACCTTTGATGGTAGGAAAAAGTCTGTTTGATTCTTCACCTCATTGTTGTCACTTATTTGGAAAATATGTTTTGTATTTTCATAATCACAATAATGTAACTCTCCTGTTCTTTGAAACTTTATATAATCTGGAATAGGCTGCAGATGACCTTCTTCATTTTCACATACTCTGAAAGTATACTTATTTGAGATTGCATTTGCACCTATTTCATACAGGTCATCTGCATACTTTCTCTCGAATGTCATGTCAACATCCAAAATTAGATTAAGTTCTTGAGTGGTTTTATTATTGTTCACTATGTAGGTTGATTCATTCAACTCTTTTATATCATCATGAAGTGTCAAAAAACTCTTCAATTCCTTCTCATCAGAAAATACATTAGAATCCTATTGCGTGCCACGTACAGTAATAAGGCTCTCATTGTTGAAAGTACCACTTCTTAAACATGAAGATACCTCATGTAGCATGTTTTCCATTACAATTTTATGGTCATTCGAACCAACTTTTATGAACTTGGTTTCAACCTTAAATGGTCCATGTCTTGACAATGCTTTATTTTCTTCGGCATGAACTCTCTCCACAGGGTTCCGTTTGCTATTATATTCAGCATAAGACACCTGGCAAAGACTGCGTAATTTCAAAAAATGAAAAAGTCGAAGGAGACACATCTTTACTATCAAATTATTTGGAGCAGTTGATGGTCCATTGTCCACAACGAAAACAAAGTCTTTCTTAAATTCACCACTGTCAGGGTTTCTGAAGAAATGTGACGTTTCAGGGTGAATCATCATTATGAAAATTTCATTCAGAGTTTTGAAAGCAGTTTCTGGCTCAAAATATGACAAGTTTAAAATAGAAATGCCCCTTCCTGTTCGTTTTGTTCTGATGACAGTTCCACCAGATGTAATTTGGACCTGTTTTTCTGTCTGCAGAATCAAATGAGTCATTGGAGTGATGGCGAATGTTTTGCTTTGATCCCAGTCATGATCTAGATATACCCTCTTTTTCCATGTTCTACCTGGTTTTTGGACAGGGGCAACATTGGCACAAACAATTGCCTTAGCATCTTTCGAATCCACAAAGGTTGAGTCTTGCCTTTCATAGGCCATGTCAAGAATTATGTTAGCGTTTGCAGAGGACCAATGTAAATTGACAACCAGTTGGGGAACTCCGGTTCTTTGTGGTGCATTCAAGGCAATCTTTGCATTTATATTTTTTCCGGCATGGTGCTGAATAGCTTGATGAGAATTGGAGCGATAATTTTCTGTGTAGTTATAACATGAAGACAGGGAAATCTGAAAACCCTCTGGGGCAACTGCCATTATTATTTCCCTCGCCTGCTTCATTGTTTTGCTATTATCACAACTTCTGTACAGAATGCCATCTGTCAAACGTGGATGACTTTCCAAACCACCGTTTGCATTTCGAGGGTTATATTCACTAAAGCAGAACTCCAGCACAGCAGCAAGATCAGGGTACTGTTCACACTTTAACATCCTACCCCTGCCTTCAAACACAGTCTTCAATTCTTTCGTCTTTCTTCTTGTAATCATCCGTTTATAGAATGCTGCTTGTTGCTGATTTGTCATGTCATTCCTTACGGAAAGACATGTCTGTTCAATATTTTGGTATTCCTTTACTCTAAGATCAAGTGTATCCCTACTGTTCATGTATCCAGATTTATTCTTTTTCCCCTCTAATTGTGTCATAAATTCTGCAGTGGTAATGTTAGCCATCAAGCCTTTCAATATTTGTTTGTCATGAGGGTCTTTTAAAGATTTGATTGCACCTGTATATGTATTTTTTATTCTGTTCTTAATCAAATGTTTAACATTCTCCTGGTCTTTGCTTCTGCTCATCTCTTCTAATTGTTTAATTAAAGGTGAAACATGTTGATTTTCACCAGTTATAATGTAGCCAGTTCCATTCACATATATCTGTTTTATCTCTGAATATTTCCCAAGTTTTTCTATGAATTCACTTGACATTGCTCTAGCATTAGACTTAATTAATGTTTGATAATAGCTACAAACATGTTGTGTTTTTATCACAGGGCCATTATTCTTGATAAAGTCTAGGACCTTACTTATTAAATCTTTTTTTGAATCTCTGTTTCCTCTTGTTAATCTTTTCAAACCAACAGTTTTACCATCTTCTTCGAGTAAGGGATTTTCATTTCTGTTATCATTTCTTTTGGCGTTTTTTCCTATGTTCCTGCCATTGTTGAAGTAAAAACATTTAGAAAGACCTTTGAATGTCAATCCAGATGTATAGACATGATCTGGAAATGTTTTCAAGTTTGAGTCAGAACTTGATTTTGATGCTGGTTCTTTATCTGACTGTCTTTCAAAAAGCGACTGGATTGTTTGCTCTTTAATTTTCTTTTCACTTTTCCCTGTTTTTTGTTTCCGCTTGCTATTTTTGGCTTTCAAGACTTCCTTTAACATTTTTTTTCCTCTTCATTTAAACTTTCTGTCACTTTACTTACTATCTTACTCCTATTTATGTGTTGCTCTGTCCCACTCAAACTTTCTTGTCTTTCTTCTGTAGTTTTTATGTTTTCATTAACACAATTTTCTTGATTATTTCTTAAAATCGGTTCAGATTCTTTTGAATGTCCATTCATTTTTATGCATGTACTATCATTTTCATTTACCAATTTACAGCCAACTGGTTTTTGTGGGGATTTACTTTCTTTTTGGAATTTATATATCAATGATTGTATGTTTTGTTTTCCATTTACTTCCTGCACTGGTGTCTTTTTGGCTTTCTTTTTCTTATCATAATGGTCACTAACATTTTTACGTTTCAATGAACCTGTAATGAAGTCTTTCAATTCATGCTTGACTTGTCCTTTGTTTTCTTCACAATGTTGGAGTACACTATATTCATATTTCAATGGAGTAGCATTTCCATTTTGAGAAAAGTCAAACAGTACATCAACTGATATTTTGTCCAGTTCAATACATGACATAAGCATCATTCTCAGCTGGTTTGAATAAGCAGTAGGATCCCTTATCATGTTTAAAATGTTCCAGTTTTTCATTTGGGATCTTTCAACACCCATAGTTTCTTTCCATAGTGTTTTCTCAAAGGACAGAATACAAAGGATCAGTGAAGCCACACCACAAACATTACCACAGGACTGCAATGGTGCAAATTTACTGCAGTTTGTTGAACATGCATGTTGCCTCTGTGTTATATTTGGATGGTGCAACATTTTTACTGTTATTCCTGTAAATTTGCTTGATATATCTAACAGTTTTTGATTAAGGTCAGTTGGAAATGCCTATCCAAGTGAATCACTATAAACAGCAGAATTGGATTTGCGATTTATATAGAGGTAAGTCCAATGACTCCCCTCTTCCATCAATGGAGTCACATAAACAGTTGATTTTCTTCTTGTAACATTAATAACAAGGTGTATTTCTTCTGTTTCTGGTTTGATGACATAATTATCTATGTTGTTTAGCAGGAGAAACTGGCTTTTGTTATCTAGAGTTGAGCTAGTTTTGTTGCAAATGTCAAGCACCTCTTGAATAATCCCATCTGTAAGTAGACGCTTGCACAATAAAGATTCTCTGTCTTTGTTGGATTGGGACTTGTGCCATACTTTGAACATATAACCATCAACTTGGGAATCATTAATACCATTTTTTCTTATCCATTGAAATTCTTCTTCAACTTCATTTGATACAATTTTTTTTTGGTACAAATTGCTCAAGGAATTTAAAGCATTCCAGTCAAAAACACCATACCCATCCCATACAAGCACATAATTTTTCCTTGAAAGTAGCTCTCCTCTTAGTTTTATAAGTAAAGTCTGTGGTGGAATCCGTTTTAAATTACTTGTATCTGTGATTATGAAGTCTTCATTTGGCAAGAACCTCCGGCTTCTGAACATTAAAGTTGCATCAGGTACAATGTTTGATGTTCTGTGTTTTTCCCATATATTCCATCTTGTTTCTGAGCATCTAAAAAAGAATTTAAACCATTAAAAATTATTTGTATATCTAAATTCAATTAAAGTTCATGTTTTTTGTGCTCTGACTATAATATGTATGCAAGAAGTTTGAGACTTAAATTATGTATTAGTTTTGGCAGGCTTAGTATTCTATGATATTTTATTAAACTATTGGGGTCTTAAATTTCAGCACTCTTTATTTCTATAGTGACATAAATATTTCAATGATATGTTTTACTTCTGCTTCCATTGTTTAATTAAAATAATTTACGGTATGTCATTCCTATATTCAAATGAGATTGTTGCCTTTTTAAAAAAAAAATATACTGATGACCAATATGATGCATCTATCTAGCAGTTATGTCCTGGACAAGAATAGCAGACTGACGGACAGACAAAGCGGCGACTATATGCTTTGGGGAGCATAAAAAATTATGAAAACTTAACCAAAATTCAATACTTTGATCTTGATGGTCAAGGTCATTTAAAGCCCAATGTCAAGGTTAGTTAAACCTTTAAGAATGTCTTACAAATCTTTTCTAAGTATGAAAATAATCCATTGATTAATTACAAAGTTACAGCCAATTAAAGCAATAATAAGAAAAAATAAAACAATTTTAATAAAATAATACGTCATACACGAGTCAAGGTCAATTTGAGTTTGATATACATGACGGTTGAACCCGTTCTGACCTAAAAGATGTTTCTTAATAAGAAGTTAATCCATTCATAAATAACAAAGTTTTAGCAAGTTACAGAAAAAAACTAGAAAATTTCATTAATTTGACCCTGATTTAGTCACATCTAAGTTTTTCACTATGTTTGTTTGGTAGCAAGTCTTGTTTCTTTCAAGTTTAAATAAAATCTGTACATAAATAACACTAGAACTGTGCTTGTGATGTGTCGCCTTGTGAACAGTATAGCTGTCACTTCAGCATTTTCTTCTTAAGGTTATTTATAAACACTGCTCTTACAATGACATGTACCTTTAACTTTAGAGGCATTTGAACTGATTGTAACAATGTTACATCAGGATTAATGAAACTGTTATATTATTAAAAATACCATGGAAAATTTTTACACTGACATCAAATGGAGGACTTATAGTGACAAAGTTATGCGCTGGACAAGCCTATATATATTAAGGAAAAATATTAACAGTTATGCTCTGGACAAGCCTATTAAGTAAGAAAATTAAGAAAGGGCAATAACTCAAAAAACATGAAGTAAAGTGAACAAGTCCTTCAACCCAAACTCCCTCCACGCTGCATCGGTTGAACCTTAATGAAAATTTCGGCAAGACCAAAGGTTTCTCAATGGGTGGACAAAGGACCTTTGATGGTATTGTAAAAATCATTCAAAGGTACATGCTGATTTTGCTAAACATGATTATTTCATAGTATGAATCAATAAATTAATCAACATTAAGCAACATTTGGAAACATTACCAACAGAAGCCCTTTTGAGGTGAGGTCATACTTAAAAATTCTAATGTGTATGTTTTGCCAGAAGTGTTCAATTAATAAAATTTGTAATAAAAGAATGACAAAATTATGACAATTTATGCATGTTCAATAATTCAATAATTTGACTTTGATGTTCGATATCATTTTGAAATCAAGATCATATTTATCATGTATTGTTGGTTTTATCACCAACATAATCCAAGTATGAATCAAATCCATTGATTACTAGCAATAACAAAGTCAGTTAAAGCCAATTTCAATAACTTGACCTAGACAGACAAGGTTATTACCAATTTTATGAAAATTATAGTCAACTTATGGTCAATGTCAAATTACAGTCAGTGCCTTGATAAGGTAAACCTTAAATATTTTGATGTCCAAGTATAATTACAATACATTCATAAATAAGATAAAGGTAACTACAGTTAAACTTACAATAAAACAGGTTTAACAGATTATTATTAAGTTACTGAGCAAAGTCTGTTCGGAACATAAGATGCATGTTTGTGTAGCTTGAATTTAATTGTTGATATGATTGAAACTTAAATTATTGAGAACTTTAGAATTTAATATTTCAATAAAAAGTGCAATAAAGTTTATGTAATTCATAGGAATATTTTTTTGATGTAATTCATAGGAATAATTTTTTTATTGATGTTTAAAGGTAAAAATCTTATTCTATCACACTTAATAATGTTCTGTCTATTATCAAAGGAAATAATTTCAAATTGAGAGAAAACAAGACGGCCATTTTCAAGCTGATTCTTAGTTTCAGGGGTGAAAGAAATAATTCTTTGTACAAAAATCGTCATTTGAAAGATCATTTTGTAATTTATGTGTTACATGATAAATAGAAAAACATGCTTCCATCTTTGGATATCAATTTTATCAGAAAAGGCCGATATGGACAGAAAGGGCAAGGCTTAATTCAGCCTCGCCTGATTAAATTGATATCTAAAGATATAGCATGTTATTCTCTATTCAGCCACATATTTAAGTTCTACTGCATAAGCATCCAAGAAAATTTTAATTTCATATTTCTTTATTAGGATAGACTTCTCATTAGGATCTTTTTATCATGCTGACAGAATAATTAACCTTTTTTTATTTTTTTATCATATAGGGATAACAACCAACTTTTTTACAATTGGCTAACAGCATTAATATGATGTTCCAATTTGCTTTTAATATAACATTTCATTTCTTGCTTTAATTTTTAAGCCTTTACCTGGTATTATCCTGCAAATTAGTGAGGTCAATTATATCTTCTGCCATGCTTTCAACATGAAGACAACTCCGGATGATCAGTGCATACCTGTAAAATATAAAAAATTCTTTAAATAGTACTTTGCTATATTTTGGATATATATCTGTAATTGTATCAAAATTTGTAAGCAACAACATATTTTTGAAATATTTATTATATTATGTCAATTGTTGCTTGACACACTTTACTTAAGCATTATGGTGATTAAATGCTTCCTATTTATCTGTATTAAAGGTTAATAATTCCTTTTATCAGCCCTCAATATATTCTTATGTCCATAACATCCTCACATGGAATATTCCCCATGAGATATTTCTTATATCTCCCTTTAAGTATTTTTTTTCAGTATAATAAAAAAGATAATATTCTAAGCTATATTCGATATTTGACCTTGATGGTCATTTAAAGGTCAAGGTCAAGTGTAGCAAAATTAATCAATTAAATCTTTTTTATTGTCTTGTCACAAGGATTGTATGGTAACATCCATTCATTAATAACTAATTTATAGCCAATTACTGGTATCAAAATAGTATCCGTAGGCTAGAAGTATCTATTCATACTAACTCTTATGATTAATTGAAGTTATATTGTTTATATGCCTGAAAAAAATTTGGTGTACAATGTTACGCACCTAGCAGTCTGCACAAAGAACTTTTTATGGTAATAGACATTTTGGCTTTGTCCATAAAATATCATTTAGCCCGTACCATTTTTAACTAGCCTGAAAGTTCTAACAAAAATTGTGCCAAGGTTTTTCAAATTCACTTAAATCTGAAGAAAATAATGCAAAGTGATATCACTTGATTATCATATCTGATATTCTTAGACAGGATGTACATTAGACTGAAACTCAAGGGTCAAATGATTTCATTTAGCTTACCCCTCTGGTGTCATAATGATAGCTTACTCCAAACAAGAGGGCCATGATGGCCCTGAAGTTGCTCACCTGTATATAGGCCCCCGGAGCAGGGACAGTTTAAACCCCAGGGCTTTTATTTGAACAAACTTGGTAGATACCCTTTAGAAGATGTTTCATGCTTAACATCTAAGGTCTAGCTGGTCAAGTTTTTTCTTTACAATAATTAAAAACAATAAGACACTAGGGGCAGGGCCAGGTTTGACCCAAGGGCTTTTATTTGAACAATCTTTGTAGACACTTAGTAGAAAATGTTTCATGCTTAATATCTAAACTCTAGCTATTCGGGTTTTTTCAAAGAAGATTTTTAAGTTTTTTTAAGAAATAGGTCAAAAGGTTTAAGTGGAGACTCTTTCACCCCAGAAGAAATAGCAAAAATCAAAACATCAGGAAAAATACAGGATTTACAGTACATATAAGGAAAATCAATGACCCCTAGGGCTGGGCCAATTGTGACCCAAGGCCTTTCCTTTGAACATACTTGGTAGACATCCACTAGAAGATGTTTTATGCAAAATATCTAAGTTCTAGTTCTTTTGGATTTTCACAAGAAGAGTCTTTAAGTTTTAACATGTGTACAGGGCTTCCATTTGGAAGTCAGACACTACAAAATCTCTGATATTGGGAGTCACATTATATAGGTAAGGAAGAGAAAGTATTTTGTTTTGGAAGTCACAAGCCAAAATCAAGGAGTAAATGACTCCCAAACTTCCATTAACGGAACCCCTGTGTGTATATAAGGAAGACCAATGACCACCTGGGGCGAGGCTACTTTTGACCCTAGGGCTTATATTTGAACAAACTTTGTTGACACCCATTTGAAGATGTTTCATGCATAATATCTAAGCTCGTGCACTTTGGGTTTTTTTTAAAGAAGATTTTTTAAAGTTTTTTTTATTATATTTGTTATATATTTAACCCTGGGGCTTTTATTTGAACAAATATGGCAGACACTCTCTAGAAGATGTTTCTTACTTAATATCTAAGCTCTAGCTCTATTGGTTATTTAAAAGAAGATGTTTTAAGTTTTTACTTATAATAGACATATAAGGAAAATCAGTACCCCCATGACGGGCCAATTTTGATCCCAGGGCTTTTATTTGTACAAATATATATCAATCTATGTAATTTCAAAAATAAAATCACAAAAAAAAAAAATTATATTTGCTATACATATTGTATATAATTATGTTGTAAAGATATTGAAATAGAATCATTTTTGTTATAAATATATATGAGGTGTTTTTGATATATCCAAACTGTTCTTAAATTAGCATAATTAAGGAATTAACAGTCAAAAAAAATTTCAATCTTTCTGAAATTGCAAAAATTATAATTTAATACAATACAATACAGTTTATGATTCTTACTCATCTATTGTTATATTGTTTCATTAATTTTGTTTGTCTTGTTATTACATTAACTTATTTTCATTGTCACCAATTGAAATTTTTAATACTCAAATTAGTACATTTATTGTAATTGTAAGCTTTCATCAAATAATCATGAATAGTTCAAAGAAGGACAGAATCACACATTTAATTGCTGTGAAAAATAAGAAACAAAATAAAGATTATATAAAGGATGCATTAACATTGAGATTCATTTCCTTGTTAGCTGTGCCTTGAATTTATAGAATTAAACATGACAGATAGTTTTTCAGATTTCTTTAAACGTTTCAATTTGACAGACTTACATGAAGTGTTTCTTGAAAATGATTTTCGAAATATTGAAGGATTACTTGAAGTGACAAATTCGGATTTAATTGAGATGGGTATAACAAAGTTGGGACTAAGAAAAAGTTTCCTAGGTGCATTGAGAAATGTAAAAGGTTAGAATACAGTTCTATTTACAGTTTCTTTATGGTATGATATAATAATAATGTGAAACATAAACACATTTGCTTTTAGGGTAATCTAAAATAATTGAAGCTCTTGTGATTTTTTTTGTAAGTTTTAGTTGGAAAAATATTAGTTTTATTTAATTTACTCTACACAAAAAGGTTCACAATTTAAAATAAGTGTTCCTTTAACCTTTTACCCCATGAGCATATTGCAAAAAATGGCCGTTTTCATTGAAAAGCCCCCTGTAACAAGTTAAAACTGCTATGAAACTATGAAAAATGCTTCAATTCTGATGAAACTTGGCACAAATGTTGACTAGACCATAGCCTCTGTAACAGCATGCTCAATCGTAAATTTCCTGTTACCATATTAACCAAGTAACCAAAATCTGTATAATTAAAACGTCTAAAATATATGCGACTGTTATGTTTTCTCCCTCTATAATATAGTTAACAAAGCCTTTTCAAGCAAAAATAAAAAGCATATTTACTGATATTTTTATGAAACTTGATATATGGATAAATGGCAGTATGGAGATTATGCACGTTTTTTCTTTTCTTCCTATGTTGAAAATGTTGGTTGCTATGGCAACATATTGACTGAATTTCAAGATTTCTGATAAGGTTTTTTACGCTTTTTCACTATAAGTTCTTTATTTCTTAAAGCTGCACGCCTCCAGATGAGCAAACATATTTCGATAAAATCAAACCTGAGAAAAATGTACTAAGATTTAAGGAAAAGTATGCAGATACAAATTATAGTAATGATTTACATGTTGTGTGCGATTACTGATTTTTCAGTATTTATAACTATATTTCTGCGTTACTAACGTAGTTAGGGCTATTTTTGCATATTTTGACCTCTTCATGGTAATTTAAGTGGGTTGAAGGTGCCATTGATACTGTGTAAATTGCATTGTTTTAGTAACTTCACAATATAATACTGTTAAATACATTTTCAAATTTTCATGAAAATTAGCATGAATCTGGAGGTGTGCTGCTTTAAGGTGTTTACTTCAAACTTTTAATATAAGTTTCTGGTCATCAACCACATCATATGTGACAAGGTTTACAACTCTAGCACAAAAAATATCAGAATTACCTCCCTTGAACTTAGAATTTTTTTGAAAAAAATGTTGTCTTCTTAAAATTACTTCTTTATTTCTTAATGTATCTACTTCATATATATGTTTCTTATTATCACTCAACATTTGTGTGAAGGTTAAATTCTCTAGCAAGACTATTTCCAGAATTATGTCCCCCTTGAACTCAGTTTTTTTCGAGAAATTGGTATTTTTTTACTCCAACTTCTTCATTCCTTATAGGACTTACTTTAAAATCCCACATCGAAATAATATGACAAGGTTTATAAATCTAGAAGCCTTTTTTCCAGAATTATCTCCTTAAACTTCGAATTTTCTTATTCATTCCTTAACCTTCTAATTTTTTCTTCATGGATTCTCTTCAAATTCAAAATAAACATTCATTATCAACACCTACATTATATTTTTTTAAATTTTTTTATCTTTGTTACTATACATTATAATTAATGCTATATTTGAAAATTGTTATCTTTTTACTTATCTTCTTTGTGACTATAAATGGTATCTTTAAACTTAAAGTAAAACTCACATCATATATGACGATGAAATATAGCAATAAAATCTAGCATCTTTATTTTCAAAGATTTATCTCCGTCTTTAAGAATTTTTGCATTTAAAATATGTTATATTTTGGTAACAAAGGGATGGTTTAAAAAATTTAACTTAAGAGTTTGTCTGTATGTCTGTCTATCTATTCATAAAAACTGTTTCCTGAGATCACTTAAAAGAATTTTTTCCTAAAAAAATTTACTTTAAAAATAGAGAAAAGTTGAAAACATTTAGTTATACTGAGAAAAATTGGGACCTTTTGATTTTATATCTGTTGTATAAACATAATTTTCCCCACACTAGGGCAGGGGGAAACTTAAACACAATTACTATGATATAGGACAAAAACTTAGAACTAAAAAGATTTAAGATTCATTCATTCACTGTTTAAAATTGAATGGCCCAATGGTCGATCAGAATGTTGCTGGGGTTCTAACCGGTAGGGGCTTATGGATTTTGCCTTGGCCCAAAAATATGATAATTGCTTGTTTTTTGATAATCTATTTTTTATAATTACTACATAATGCTTGTTACACATGTAACAAGCTAGGTGAACAGAATTAATTCAATGGAATTATTGCTGATTTAACAAACCTAACTTAAGTGCTTGAATTTTTTTATTTACATTAAGGATGGTTT